AAAATTTTCTGCTTCTCTGATAGTTTTTGGAAGCCTATTCCAAATAAGTGGGGCAAAATACGAAAAAGAGCGTTGGCCATATGATTTGTAATTTATTTTAGGCTTAACAAGGGTTGTTTTGTCACTTGATGATCTGAGCGTTCTAGGATGCACATAGGGTGTTAAAAGCTATTTTAGATAGTCCGGTGATAAATCATTTAAGCACTTGTAGCAAGTTAAACAGATTTTATATATGATACGCTCTTTCACTGGGAGCCAGTGTAATGCTTTTAAAATAGATTAGAGTAGTAGAAACCACCCATTGGTTGTTGTTGTTTTTTTTGTTTGAATCAGTGTTTATTGAAGAATTCTCCAGAATAAAGCTTATAAGTGTTTATAAAAATGTTGGCATGCTGAGACAAATTGATACTAGTCATTGTGCAAAAGTTGGAGAGTCTTATTATGTTGAGGAAATATTTTACAGAAAGTTGCGCCGCAATTTTTTGGACAGCACTATAGAACTTAACACAAGCACGCACACGCTCTCTTAGGTACGCACACATGTGTGTCGGTATCAAGAAAAAGATAAGGATACACAATATAACATAATGCTAGTTCTTATTGTATTGCAGTCAAGAAAGTTAACATGTTTTAATGCATTCAACATTTATTTCCGATATGACAAAACGAACTGAACATGGAACATTCCTGTACCTGTACCTGTGAACACAATCAGTATAATTACAAAAATGACGTGTAGAGGGACTATGATGCTAACAGCGATAAAGAGGCAAACTATCTCATAGGACCTCAGACACATAAAATTGTCTGAGATTTCTGAAATTTTGTGAAACCTGATCATTTGATTCTGACCGTGTTTGTTGTTAATACCTCACGTCGAATATTTTAATGAAAGTAAATCTATAATGCAGATAGTTTAATGATTGAGATGAAATAATATAATTAAACAAAACTGTTCAAACCATTGATAAAATATAATAATATAATATAATTATTAATTAAGTATAACCCGTTTCCCGTCCCCTATATTCTCTCTCTCTCTCTCTCTCTCTCTCTCTCTCTCTCTCTCTCTCTCTCTCTCTCTCTCTCTCTCTGTCTCTCTGTCTCTGTCTCTGTCTGTCTCTCTCTCTCTCTCTCTCTCTCTCTCTCTCTCTCTCTCTCTCTCTCTCTCTTTCGCGTACCCTGTCTCTCTCTATCTCTCTCTCTCTCTCTCTGTCTCTCTCTCTCTCTCTCTCTCTCTCTCTCTCTCTCTCTCTCTCTCTCTCTCTCTCTCTCTCGTATTTTCTGGGTCTATAAGACTCAATTCTTCTTTCTTTCTTCCTTTCGTCCTTCCTTTCTTTCCTTCTTTCCATTCCCCTTTGTATATTTCACTTATTTCTTGAGCACATAATAACATAATATACATATATTACAAAGTAGTCTAGAGGTACAATGCTTGTTTCTCACACCAAACTACGTGATTTGGTGTTGAGTTCTTTCACATAATGACAGATAATAAAGTATGAGGATAATTTTGAATTTGTACAGAAGAGAAAGAAGAAGAAAATGCGGCGAGTAGGCTAAAAGAGCAATATTCACAGTCATCGCACTTTCAAGTAACAAGATAAAAGGAACAAAACAGAAACAAATAAATAAATAAAACAAAAACAAACAAAAAACAACCCGATAACTCAAGAGCTGGGTATATGTACTCAACTAGACAAGAATGTCATCATAATTATGCATGGAATTTAAATTCGTCAAAAGGGAGCAGTACACCACAAACTGGTGACATATACAGGGTTAAATTATTTTCGTTCATAATGGAAATCAAGCAATAAGGTATGCTTTTGAAAAATATGTGGCAGAATGATGCCATGATGACTACATCTCGTTAGTAGGCTTATTTCATTCTCTACACAATAACGCAAATAACGGGAAAACGATCCGGTAAAGGCGAGACAATACATATTTGGTACTTTGTTTATCCGCTCACACGCACTCACACGCACACGCACACGCACACGCACACGCACACGCACACACAAACACACACACATACACACACACATACACACACACACACACACACACACACACACAATGCCTAAGGACGTACGTACATGAACTTATTTCGTGCACACACCATACATCCCGCATAGAGAAGATGAGAAAAAACTCAGAGAGAGAGAGAGAGAGAGAGAGAGAGAGAGAGAGAGAGAGAGAGAGAGACAAACAGGCAGACAGACAGATAGACAGACAGAGACAAGCAGATAGAGAGAGACAAACAGACAGACAGACAGATAGACAGACAGAGACAAGCAGATAGAGAGAGACAACTTGAAACAGAAAGAAACATAGACAAAATTACTACTCTATTCAGGAACGAAGGCATTGTGGTGCATGTATATTGGACGTTGGCGATTTTCTCCGGCAAAAAGGGAAAGGGTGTTTGAGAATGTCTGAGTGCCCAAGTTGTTTGTGTTTTTCTGGGTGTGTGTGTTGGCGTGCGTGTGTTTGTTTGTGTTCGTTTGCGCGTGTGCCGTGTGTATTTGTATGTGTATGAGCACGCACGTGTGTGTGTGTGTGTGTGTGTGTGTGTGTGTGTCTGTGCGCGCGCGCGCGCGCGTGTGTGTGTGTGTGTGTGTGTGTGTGTGTGTGTGTGTATGTTTAAGTTTGTGGGATTTTTTCAGGGGAGGGGGGGGGGGGGATGACGTAATTTGAGATTCAGTAGGAAGAGTGGAAATGAGTGTGATGGAAGCGAACTTGTATGTATGTGGTTTCTTAGGCTGTGTGATTACTGGATTTATTTTATTTTTGAAAAAAAACAAAAACTTCCTTGCTCCTCGCCAAACATTGGAACGAGCCTTGTTGCTGCTCTTGTTGTTGTTGCTGCTTCTGCTATTGTTATAGTTTGTGAGGGCTTTTTTTTGTTGTTGCTTTTCGGCAACGGGGCAAATACATTGTCCTATCGTTGGAAGTGAAAAAGCATCTATCAATTTTGTTCGCAATGGTCTTTTTGTATGTTTATATAACATATTATTTTTTAAAAAGTCCTACAAAACAACAGTGAGATTTAAAAGTACTACTAGAAAACGTGAGAGTCAAATTAAACTTTCATTCGAATGGGTTATTGAAAAAGGATTGAGCATGCTAGGCACAAAAACAAACAGGGTATGAGCAATTTATTTGGACAACGCAAAGGATTAGCGTTATAAAGCTTATCTTGAAGTAGGATTAAATTTCTTCTTTTTTTGGGTTGAATTTTAAACTTATTTCAATCAAGCGTATTCTACCATAATATTGGCAAATTGTTTTCCCCCCAAAATAGGAACTTTTTACGTGGAAAGTTAACGGATAGAAAAGGCATCTAAAGCTCTAAACTCGAATTCAAGATCTTCCATTTAAATAATATTCATTACACTTACTCACTGAAATGTTCCCGAGATGATTTGCGAATGGTACAGAAGTTATCGGTAGTAATACATTAAGAAAACGCCAGGTGGAAACATTACGGTTCAATCTGCGGCCCGTCGCTTTTGTTTCGTCTTTTTTTTTGCTTTGTTTTGTTTTGTATTGTATATTGTTAAATATTTCAAAACGAATTTTGAGAAAAATAGTTCCGGTCCAGTAGGGAATTCTTGTCCAGGTGAGAATGACCCCGAGGAGAAGTATCAGTAGTGGTAAGTGAAGTCGAGGTAAGGGGTGTTTCTCCTGTAACTGGAGGGTAGCAGCGCTGCTCTCGTCCACGGTGCCTCTTCAACGGGCAGCCCATCGTCATCCCTGCAAGTTCTCTCAGCTAGAAAGACAGAAGGAAAGATAGCAGGTCAATATATATAGAAACAAATTAACAGCAGATACTTCTTTAAAACGTAGAGGACACATAAATAACTATGTCCAATCAGCAGCAGACTGGTGACACTGTTGCTGCACATTTCGAACCATCATACAGACACAAGAAACATGAATTTGCATCCACTTGTTTTTTATCTCAAGTTGGGGACTATAGTTTGTCGGCATTGCTGCAACGATCGAAATATTCAGCTAATCTACTTTCCTCTAGCTTCCCGAATTTGATACAAAGGTTGTGTTATAAATGCCCACTTCTTCCTAACTGACAGAGAGAAACATTTCCACAAGAGATACAATGGCTTCCTCTCAAATACAATGTAGTACATGTAGATTACATTTTTAAGCAAAGACACGGACAACTTTTGAAAAACGTTGTATACAAACCTCACGGAGTCTTTATGTTGTTGGCAGTTTAATTAATATCTCATTCTCTTTGAAGGTGAAAGAGGGTTGCTGTCATAATGACAAAAATGACGACTTGGACCAAACCCCCAAAGCTACAAAGCTGTCGACAGTGCGCACCCAAAGCCTAAAAAAACATGATATTGATATTATCATCGTTGCCATATATAGTCAAGGGATATGGATTTTAGAAATTTCACCAGCAGATGCCCTTAACGATCTTTGCTTTGATAGCTAGTAAGAGTTCAATGCCACTGACGACAAACATAGGTCCTACTGGGGCCGAAGACTAGAGGTATTACAAGAGAGTAATAAGAAAAGAAAGAGGAGAGATACGGTCGGGACGATATGTGTAGGAAAGGAAAGAAGGAGCAAACCACACCAGAGGAATCACTGACCATCCAGTGATAGCTTTTAGTGAAACCAGACAGCATGGGAATTGTTGGCCCCAGTGTCCAGGAGTTTTAATATTTTAAGACACGAGAAATACAGACAGTGGGCGAGAATTTGATCAACGCATAATAAAATTTCAGCCGTGCCCGCCCACACCTTCTCTCTTTCTCTCTCTCTCTCTCTCTCTCTCTCTCTCTCTCTCTCTCTCTCCTTCTCTCCCTCCATGTCTCTCTCTCTCTCTTCTCTCTCTCTCTCTCTCTCTCTCTCTCTCGCTCGCTCTCTCTCTCTCTCTCCTGCCCCGCCCCCTCTCTGCAATTATAATATGTACATCGTCATTGTATGTCGTACATTAAGGTCGGCTTCCGTTCTAAACTAATTTTACTTTACGGAATTTAACCCTTGGAGCATTAGCAAACAAAGTGTCCCTGGTATTTCCATTTTTCCGGAGACACATAGATGATTATCTCCTGTGGGGTCCATCATCCCTACAGACCGTAGTCTTCTAAACAATTTACTTTTTAAAAAAAATCTCAATACCTTTTATTAATAGAGTCAGCAGGAGTCCGTATACCCCTTGGTCAGTAAAAATCGAACGTAATTTCTTTCATAATTTGAAATCTAAATCGGTTGCAATTTACGACCACCCGCATCCTTTCACCAACGCATGGTGTGGTTTACTAGAATAAATGGATGGATAAAGTGAAAAACAAGCCAAAACACATCAGTTCTAAATAGCTGAAGCCTTTTGTTAACATTAAAAAAATAATGGGCATGGCTTGTACTTAAAAAAAAAAATAGGTAAGCGTTTTACGGCGCTCGCAACTGCACAAGGTAATGTGAGCGCGCGTGACACATTAACATTTTCTGTTGGTATGACGTTTTGAATTTTACCCGAATGGCGGCTTAGGCCTACTCTTATCGATTTTGGACCACCAAGTGATCTTTAACGTGTGCACACGGGACCGAGATTTTTCTCCCTTATCCAAGAAGGCTAGGTGTTAGATCGTACTTACTATAAGACCAGGGGTGTGTTTGAAAGACAGCAGTATAAAGGAGCTAAAAAATAGAAGTAGAAAGGCTGCAGAAAAAGTCAGGAGCCCAGAGAAGGGGGCAAATGAGGTGAAAGGGTAGAGGCAGACAGTTGAGACGAAAGCAGGAGACAGAACGTTGTCAGAGAGCAGGAAAGGAGGTGAAATGATAACATTTTAAATAAGAAACATTTTCGTCGCTCACTCTCCAGGTGCGAACCCAGGACCTATTGAATGAAAGGCGAACACTGTAACCTCTCGACCACTAGAGCCCCCGCTTCTTCTTGACTTGGTTTGATGTTATGAAAATTAAATAGTTTCTTCATCCCTTAGTTTTTTTTCGTTTGTTTGTGGGGTTGTTTTTTTTCATTTGTCTGTTTCCACAGGGATGGTATAAAACTACATGTACTTGTTGTGTGTTTTATTTCCTGAAAAAAAGAAAGACTTATTCACTTGACCCCTTCAAATGACATATTATTATTGGCATGCGTTGCATAACTTTTTGACATTGCTTGCGGTTTGTATTAAAGTTACAGAATGAACATGTTAGCCTTTTACAGTTATTGGGAACACTATTTAGGCAATCTTTGGTAAAAGTTTTACAGCTCTAGCAACTGCATAAGACCATGGAGCAGGACGCCAGTAGATTGATTGTATTCACCTTAGTTCTAGTACAAAATGTACACAGAACGACTTGATGTTACTTTGTAAAGTGGGAATGGTTGGAGTTAATGTGAAATGTACATCCCGGCGGCCGCCGCACTGCTTTATCCGGGGCAGCCCTATGTTCCCTAGCTCTATGTTCCCTAGCTCTATGTTCCCTAGCTCTATGTTCCCTAGCCCTATGTTCCCTAGCTCTATGTTCCCTAGCTCTATGTTCCCTAGCTCTATGTTCCCTATCCCTATGTTCCCTAGCTCTATGTTCCCTATCCCTATGTTCCCTATCCCTATGTTCCCTAGCTCTATGTTCCCTAGTCCTATGTTCCCTATCCCTATGTTCCCTAGCCCTATGTTCCCTAGCTCTATGTTCCCTAGCTCTATGTTCTCTCAGCTCTATTCAAGTTACACGATGACCAAATGTCAACTAATGGTCAGTGTGACAGTATTCAAGCAATTGTCAGAATGACTAGGGAACATAGGGCTAGGGAACATAGGGCTAGGGAACATAGAGCTAGGGAACATAGAGCTAGGGAACATAGAGCTAGGGAACATAGGGAACATAGGGCTAGGGAACATAGGGCTAGGGAACATAGAGCTAGGGAACATAGGGCTAGGGAACATAGAGCTAGGGAACATAGACATGGACCCGCTTTTTCAGAGGCGCGCCAATGTGTTGTAACCAACGTGAAACCGGCAGTACGGAAATAAAAGTTCAGAGCAGGTAAAAAAAAAATTTTTTAAAAAAAAACTTTTTACGGTAAATGGTTGCTAGAACCTGTCTCTACATATTATTTAAATACATGTAAATACAAATGGTCTGATAGTTATTTTGTTACATGCTTTCAGCCTTCTTTCGTTTCTTTTACTTCTTTTTCGTCGATTTTAAAATGACATAACTTCACCTTGTGTGTTCTTACAAATCAAACAAAAAGCAATAAGTTTAAAACCTAGTGAGAATTTTAACATAGTAGTTGCCATTCCTTTTTCACTCTCTAGGCTTTTGAAATAAAACTTTTATAACAAAACTTTTCTTTTGCGCAGAAACAACTTTGCATTTAGAACACACTAGGCTTTTAAAATAAAACTTTATGTGTAGGGGGCCTATAACAAAATGTTTCTTTTGCACATAAACAACTTTACAAGTGTCACTCACCACGTTCATTTTTGCAATCTGGCGCCACAAGGACATCGCGGGCGTTCACGACTGTCCCGTTGAGCGCTCGAACAGAGACCTCAAGACCAAAGTTTTTCCTGGCCCTGGATAACCACAGCGTGACCACCTTCTTGACCTTGAGGCTGACCCACACATTCCCGTAGCTCCTGACCTCTACTTCATCCAGCAGACGGCGCTTATACACCACTGTGAACGCAAAGCAATTAAAATAATAGTTAAATTTTGCGTTTGTTTAAGGTAAAACAAGATGAGTATGTCAGCGTGCGTGTGTGTTTATGTGTGTGTGTGTGGCGGGGGGGTTGTTTGTTTGAGAGACAGGGGGAGGGAGAGGGAGAGAGAGGAAGAGAGAGGGGGGAGGAAGAGGGAGAGGGAGAGAGAGAGAGAGGGAGATAGAGAGAGAGAGAGGGAGAGAGAGAGCGACAGAGAGACAGACAGAGAGAGACAGACAGACAGAGAGAGAGAGAGAGACAGACAGACAGAGAGAGAGAGAGAGAGACAGACAGACGCACAGAAAGACAGAGAGACAGAGGGACAGAGAGAGACAGAGAGAGAGACAGAGAGAGAGAGAGAGAGAGAGAGAGAGAGAGAGAGAGAGAGAGAGAGAGAGTATGGGTTTAACACCCCTGTCAAGACTATATACCAGGTTATTTACGGATTTATGGATTCTCCATAGTATACCGCGGCTGAAAATATGAATATGACAGAAACGTTGCACAGTGCCAAGTAAAGCAATAAGGCCAACAAAAAGACACAATGTCCACCCACCCTCGCTCACCCACTCACAAACACACACACACACACACACACACACACACACACACACACGAACACACACACACGAACACACGAACACACACACACACACACACACACACACACACACACAAGCACGCGCACACGCACGAACGCACGCACGCACAGACAAACACACACATAAAGACACAGACATACAGGGTGATCCAAAAAAACAACTTTACAACTTATTTTGTAAATATCTTCCTCCGTACTGAAGTTTTGCGTTTCAGATTTGAACATAACGTTTGGAAGCCAAAAGGAATTTTTCCGATATGTATTTTAGATAATTCCATTGAAAGGTTTTGCTCTATATAGCGCATTTAAAAAACAATCCATTTTTAACTTTGTCGCCCTTTTCATACCATGACGCACTAGTTCGCATTAGGACTACCACTAAAAGTTGTAACAATCGAGCCATATTCCAAGCTACAGCAGTCTAACAAGTCAACAGAAGTCTGCAGATATTATTTTCCCCAAATTGTGTTTGCTTGCTGAGATCATGGCTACGTTTAGTAAAGAGCAGAGAGCTTTTTGTATTGAACATTACCTCTTAGTTTAGTTTTTTAGTTTTAGTAAGAGGCTCTCCATAAACTCACCATTCCTGACATTTCGTAAGTTCTGCGCACGGTCAGGAGAGAATGCTTAAGTGCCCTCAAGACCTTTGGCGTCCTAAGTAGAGAAGTTCCGTCAGTTTGGATCTATAGCCAATCAGAACTAAAAAGTTCTTTTAAAAATGACCACTTCAGGTCGAACACGCACCATGCGCAGCCCTTTAAACGTCACCAGAGTGCAGATTTCAATTGCCGAGTCCCATGAGACGTCTGTTTGTAGACTATCTCCAGCTAGGACTTTCCTACGAATCAGAAGTCTGCATTCTCATGGCAGATCTTAACCTACGACTATACCATGTTCACCTTCGCTAGGCCGAGATGATATCGATCAGAGCATGGCAATGTGTTCATGATTCCTCGATTGTCTTGTAAAGAGGAATAGTTTCGTCGATGACATTTGGTTTAGTGCAAAGCCCATTTTCACCCTGCGGGATATATTAACTCAAACAATGCTGTCTATTGGGCTCCCCACTCTATTGTCTCTAGAAGCCACTTCTTATTGAACATGTACAGTGTATGTGGCTTTAAAAACTCATGGTTTAGCAGGTCATTGTGTTATGGCGCCACTGAACATTTCGAATGACTCGTTAAAAATGTGTCGAGTCCAAAGGAGGGAATGTGGAGCACTGCTTCTAGGAATTTCAGAATGAAATCATTGGGTTTTTAAAACTCAGTAAAAGAAATTGAACATTGTTTAACTGTCACAGGGATGGAAAATTAATGTCAAAGGGAAAATAAAGAAATACGTAAACTAATCTTTTCACCACTTCCTTTACAAGATTTTAAAACATTGGTGAACTTTGTGTTTTTGGGTGCTTTTTTCTTTTAGCTGTTTCCGTTTTTAAAACATGTTTCTTCTTCGTGGATTTTACACCTAACAATTCCTTTTGAATGAATTATGACAGTTCCAAATTACAGCATTCTAGAACAATTTTTGTGCGAGATATTCGATAAAAAGTTGTAAATCTTTAATTTTTTTTATCACCCTGTATACATGCCCATACACACAAGAACACCCCCTCCTCCTTTTTACCCTCTCCCCCCCCCCTCTCCCCCTTCCCAACCCCTCTCTCTTTCTCTCCTTCTCTCTCTCTCTCTCTCACTTTCTCTCTCTCTCCCTCTCTCTCTCCCTCTCCCCTCTCCCCCCCCCTCTCTCTCTCTCTCTCTCTCTCTCTCTCTCTCTCTCTCTCTCTCTCTTTTGAAGTGGAAAATGGGGGTTATGGCAGCGTCAAAAATTGTTTCAAGCGACAAAGAGCGAGTACTGGCAAAAGTCAGTCCTTGGGGTGCTGCTCTGTTAGAGAGCACGTCTCTGTATTAAAAGTGGAACGGTAACGTTTGTCTTAGATACTGTTAACTGCTGACATTATTGTGGTTAAGGTTGTCAATAAAAGATATTTAACGTAAACCATAAAAACAATAGTAGTAAAAGCAAAGCAAAGGATATTTTATTCGAAAATGGAAGAAGAAAACAAACAGTGCTGGTCCTTGAAACCTGTGTTATTTATGATAATAATAATAATAATAATAATAATAATAATAATAATAATGATGATGATAATAATACTAATAAATAGCATTTGTATAGTGCATAATCCCGCTTTACATCAAGTTCTATGCGTTTTGCAATATTATTATTACCCAAGCAGACCATAAAACACTCAGAAACATTCCCAGCTTCCAAGGAAGCATACTTAGCGAGCAGCTGAATAAGAGCTTAAACACTAACACACTGACAAGATCTTCCACTGTCTATAGCTGAGTACCCACTCCCATCTGGGTGAAGTGAGGAAAGTTCGTGTAAAGTGCCTTTCCCAAGAACACAACGTTGAGTCCCAGACGTGATTCGAACCCACGACCCTACAGTTGCAAGTCTGAGATCCTAACCATTAAGCCACGGACGCTGTCTCCGATGGAACCGACTAGAGAGAGCACGAGTGAGTGCGTGGGTGAATGAGAAAATATAATAGCAAACTAAAAGAATGGAGAAATGATTAACCCGTCATACAATTGTGCGTTCGTTAAGGCTTCCGCTATGACAAACCTTTCTCCTAACTCTTTTTCCATTAAAAACACGCATAAAAAATACCCTCATTCTCCACCACCGACGCACACTAAGCGGCTTTCCCTTTTACTTCAAAGCAAGCAAACAAGGGACAGCATTGCCTTAATGCCAACGATTACCATTACAACCCTGCAACAGGCTAATCTTTTCATTTTCATTGGTAGGGCATAGACGGAGTATGAAGGAGGCCTAGGTTTCATCCACATAAAAATGACAAGAGAGACATTCCACCTCATATTTCTCTTAATACCCGAAGTGTCACGAGCGCTTAATTCCTTTGTTTTTAGCTTTTGTAAGCCAACTACGGCTGATGTCCAAAAGTCCATCTCAGCTAGACATTCGCTTATTTAAAATCAGACTTGTGTCTCTAGCCATGTCAGGAGGTAGTTATTAAATCGTATGCTGACGGGAATGAGCACCGATAAGGACATGTGATTGATGAGTGTGGTTGGCGGTCGCCAGTGGTAGCATCCACTTCTTCACTTCAGTTTGTTGTTTCCTCTCCCACCAGAGATGGACATGTTCCGACTGCAGTGACCCCAACACAGTGTCTCCCACCATCCCTTGCCCCCATTAAAATAACTAGCGAGGCTAACACAGACAGGTTCAAGGTGACAATGTTCTCTCGTCTGCTTTCGTCTCCACTTTCTGCCCCTATCCCCTCACCTCCTTTGCCCCCTCCTCTGGGCTTCTGACTCTTTCTGTAATTTTTCTACTGCTACTCCTTGACTCCTTCGTACTGCTGTCTTTTAGCTACACGCCTGGCCTTATGGTAGATGGCACCTAGCAGATCTAACACACAGCCTTCTCGGAAAAGGGAGAAAAATCTCGGAAGTCGTGGGTGCAAGTGTGCAAGTTGCGTTCGAGATCCCCTGGTGGTCCAAAATCGATAAGAGTAGGCTTCGGACGCCACCGAGACAAAATTTCAAAATTTCCTGCAAATTGAAAATGCATTAATATGTCTCGCACGCTCATACGACCTTATGCAGGTGAGAGCGCTGTAAAACACTTACAAACCCCTACCCCCAAGCCCCCCCCCCTCCCCTAAAAAAAACCACAAAACAAAACAAAACATACACACACATTCACATATGTAATGACGAATACCCGCGCTTACAAGAAGTGTTAATTAAGTTTACAAATTTAGGGAAAAATGAGGTGCTCATGACAATGGCATTTGGACAAAGAGACACGTAGATATTGGAACTGATGTCCCATGTAAGAGGAATATGTGTTATAGAAGTTATAGAATTGCGTCCTTTGAAAAACGGAGGGTACGCAGTTAAGGGTCGATAGAGAGAACAAATCGGCCGAAAAAAATGCAAGATGAGCTTTTAATGTGAATGTGCAAAATGTGCATGAATTAATCCTTGTGTGGTTGCATAATTAAGATGATAATATTGTGCATGCCTGCGTACAAGTGTGTGTGCGTGTGTGTGTGTGTGTGTGTGTGTGTGTGTGTGTGTGTGTGTGTGTGTGTG